GTAGTCAATGATCCATTTAAAGTCCATAGAAAGCCTACGGATGAAAAACCACGAAGAAAGAGGTGTTGTACGGCATGTTTTGGTGTAATAATGGAATTGTCCCCTACTACAGGTTCCCTCGGGGGTACTCCGGTGTTTCCGGAAGTGGCCAATGTGGTCAATGATAAATTCAAAGTCTATAGAAAGCCTACTGATGCAAAACCATGAAGAAAGAGCGGGCGCACGGCATGTTTTGGTGTAAAAATGCAATTTTCCTCTACTACAGGTTCCCTCGGGGGTACTTCGGTGGTTCCGGAAGTGGCCAATGTAGGCAATAATCCATTTAAAGTCTTAAGAAATCCTACTGATGGAAAAACATGAAGAAAGAGGTGTCACATGGCATGATTTTTGTAAAACTGAATTCGTCCCCTACTACAGGTTCCCCCGAGGGAACTCCGGTGGTTCCGGAAGTGGCCAATGTAGTCAAGGATCCATTCAAAGTCTATAGAAAGCCTATTGGTAAAAAACCATGAGGAAAGAGGTGTCGCACGGCATGTTTTGAGTGAATGAAAGAACTGACCGCACTCAGAACCCTCCCTCAGGACCGATTCCAGGGAAATGGCCATATCTTGGTTGATTCTGAGCCGATTTTTGCTCTTGGTGCGTCATTTGCTTTGGAAATGGTTTTATTTTTGGCGTATGAACAAAAAACACAGATTAGTAACGGACACCCTGAGAAAAAACTCATCACAAATTTAGAAATTTAGACTCAGGAAACCCGGAATATCTCCGGTATGCGGTAACCATGGTCACTTCCATTGCCCCATCATAAAACTTGATTAGTTTTCTAGTCGAATGTTTCTTGAAGATTGAAAATCGAACAATATTTAACGAAGTTACAATAGTCCAAAGTTGGACAAAATTTTGCTAGTACCCTATATTTCTCACAACCCCTGTATATCTATTGTGCTGAACCAATGCACGGCTCACATGACTCACAAATGCGCATCTGTACATTCAGTTGGTGAGTATATCTCATATATTGCATTTTTTGAATTAATGCTGGTGTAAAGTAACGTAGTTTGTTTCGGTTGCACTTGGGATTCGAAATAACAGCACTGCATTTAATGAGAATAATTGTTATTAAACGTTACAGTAATTTACTTTCTAACTGTCACTGTTTCTACAATACATTGAATAGGGTCTACATCTTCACTTAAATAGCAAATAATGTATACCTACAGACAGGCTTGTGGTCGTACCTACATCGTACCTTTTTTGTACCTACATCTTAAACGGGAAATAATATGTATATTCTGGGTACATTTTGTGACATTGAAACTGGTTTTCTCACTCGTTAAAAATATCTTGTTTGCGATTTATGTGATATGATATATCGACACCCATATTTACCATAACATGTTCCGTCCATATCTCCGAAACTAGTTGACCCTTCCTTAATATTCAAAAGCTTTATAAAAGATCATTGTATTTTTCATTTGGAGTTTAACTCAATCCTATTTAGTGGTAGACGAAAAACACGTTTTTCAAAATTTTTAAATTTGTCCTTCCCACCCTGAAAAAAAAAATCATAGATTTTATTCATTGCAAACACGAAAAAATTTTTGTTGAAAAACTTTTTGCCTTTAGAAGTGCCCATCTTGGGATGTATCAACGAGTTGTAGATAAATGGTATGTCTATCTTTAGAAAAAGTTTCAGATTAAAAAAAATGTGTTTTTAAGAAATCTCATTTTTAAGTTTTAAAGATTTTTTTTTCAGTGTAGCTCATTTATTTTTCAACAAATCATCCTTGACCAACATTTTTGTAGGACTTGACATTATTGAGTTATAATTTTTTGAAGAAAATGATGACAAAAAAGTTCTGCCCTTTCCAAATGTTGGTCTAGATTTTTTTATAAAGAAAATAAGTATGCAAAGTTGCTTAAGTAGACGAAATCTATACACTTACAAAGTTTCATTGACATCTGAGAGGGTGCTGCCAACCATTTGTCGAGTTAGCGTGAAATTCGTCTGTATCTTCATAACTCGCTTTCTGAAAAGAAGAAAAGAAAAAGGACAAGAAATCTAATTCTTCACCACCCCCTGAATGAACCCTGAGAAAAACTTATCTCATATCAATAATATCAAGACAAGACATTAAAACCAACGTTGATTTCACACCGTACCAATTGATTTTTTTTCTACATGACCAAAACACTCAGAGTGACCTACTTCGATGTCATAAAAAACTCCAGCGTGTTAAAAAATGCCAGCTATCTTAGCTTTTAAAAATCTCGGGAATTTAACATACCTACTTGCCAAATTTGTATTCACCAGAAAAGATTTTTTTTTTTCTTTCAAGGGTAATGTGAGCGCTGCTACACTTATTTTCGTCGCATGTAGGGGAAATGGCTCTAATATCGGCCTATGGATCTAAGGTTGAGCCCATCGCTAAAAATCTGCTATTTATCAATTTTATCTAGATGAACGCGTCATTGGGACGGTACTAATGGATACTTTTGGTCGCTATTGAAAATTTAGTCGATTGCTGAATTAATGTATGGACCCAAATTAGGGGCATTAAGGCCGACATTACATCCATTTCCCCTATGTAAAAATATTAAAAATGTTCCGATTGTTTGCTTAAAAGGAGCATTTAGTCAACTTTAATCCATACGTCAAAATAGGTGTAAGTTTTGGTACTTCTATGCGGTAAGAACTATTTTTTAGCTTATAATATGCTCGGTTCGGCATTTTTGAGCAAAGAATTTGATGAAAAAAGATTAATGTAGCGTATTACATAGACATAAACAGCTACCAAATGACTTGAAATTTTCAGTGAAGATAGTTTAGTTCATAACGTACAAGATCTGAGACGTGCTCCAGTAATAGCTATGAGAACAGCATGCTGTCTAAACATTTATGCACAGACTCAAATTTCAAAATAGTGATTTTGCTAGGAAATTTTGGCTTTAAAAATCTAAAAATAAGTAAAATCAATACTTTTACACAAACAAAACCAATATCTTCTATCACACTTTAAAGATCCATAATCCGTTAATGAAAAGGAACAAGGAATGAAAAAAATAAGTGAAAATCATCCAAATGTAGTTTTTTGTCACTGTACAACATTTTTAAAGCAGCATTTTGTTTTCTTGATTGATACTCAAGTCAAAGCTTGTTTTTGAATCATGACTTATTTTTATTTCTTCAGTACTCTCTACAGAAGCTTCTCTAAAAATTCAAATCTATTTGGGTAGAATATTTAAAAATATACAGCTATTTATGTGTATGCAATTTTTACCGAATACACCCGCTCCTTAGATTACATCTCGATAACAAACGTCGAGCTGGTTTCATGTTGACGTCGGTCAGTACGATCCTAAACAATCATTTGGCAGATCATCCAATTAAGCCAGTATTAAAAATTAATCTGAGTAGCAGCTTTATGGCGGTAAGCTAAACTAATGGATTTTGAATAGATATCTAAGTCAATTGAGTGAGTGCACAGTATAGTTTTTAGGAAATTTTGTGTGATATTCCAAGAAACTTCTAGTTCCATTTCAATTGAATATTTTAAATAAGCTCTGAAACGAATTTAAGAGAAATAAAATAAAAAAAAATTCGAGGGTGTTGAACTCTAAGGAAAATCGAATCATAGTTTTGAATGAATTCAAAAGAACGAATCTCAAATTAATTTAAGAGGAATTCTGAAAAGAAGTCGGTGAAGGAAAATCATTCTTATGATTTTTTTTTCTAGATACAGTCGTATCAGCACTTTTGACTGTTTTTGGCATATTTTGTACTATAATTGAAAAAAAAGTAGACCCCAGACATTGTTGTAGAATTGAAAAAAAAATTCTATTAGAATTGATCAAGAGTTTCTGATTTAAGTAACTCAAAATAACTTATGGTGCGTGACATTACAACATTTTGCACTACTCAACAACTACTCATCATAACGTTTTGAATTACGCAAATCAGAAACTGTGGATCAAATGTTAAAGAAACTTCAACGAATTTTTCTGATGTGCAATTATATTTAGAAATTGCTTTTTTTATATTAGTTAGTTAGATAACTAAACGAAAGGGTCTTGAGAACAATCCAAAGAAATTCTTTTTTTTTCCTTGATTTGTTTTCCGTCAATCTTGTTAACCGTTTTCAATATCAATGCTACCCGACTCCAAAGAGGCATCTCCCACATCTGGACCCTACCTACCGACCCATTAACTCATGGACCGGGGACCAACGGCTTTACTTCCCATTCGAAGGATGGCATGATCAGAGATTTTATGCCGCAGAAAATCCCGAGGGCGCTGACTAGAATTGAACCCAGGCCCTTTGAAGTGAGAGGCAGTCTCGCTTACCACTACACCACCGGCGCCGCTGAAATAAATTTTATTTGAGTTCTGAGTTAATTGTCAATGTTGAACTACATAGAAAAAATTTGAGCACAGAATAAAATTCAAGATCTAGGAAGAAATCTGCTGTCTTGGTAATTACTCATTCAATCTCATTTGGTTTTAGCGCCAACTTTTGTTCACCTCGATGGCACTTCTTGAAACCTGATATTCTCCAAAATACTCTTCAAGCATTGGTCTATTGGACATGGGTATTACATTTCATGAAACATATTTAGTTTCACGTTGAGCAAGTTCCAAAGTCATTAGGTTTTTTTTTCATGTTGTGCTTTGTACAATGGTGGAAGTACTAAAAGGTTAACTGTATTCCACCAGTCTTGCCATCTTCGATTTTGCGAAGCATGTGACTGAAGAAATTGCTTATAAAAACCCATCGTACCCACTAATACCACGTTTTTACTTAATATGGCGTACACAATTTTGATAGTAGCGTAAAATTGAGAGTTATATTATCGAAGTCAATTTCAAAAAATCATTTCCTAGCTTAAAATTGAAGAAACCTCAAGATAAATTGTAAACATAAGCAGCATCATTAAACTCAGAAAAGAATGTACTTCCCAAGTAGTCGCTAATGTGTATGCATTTTTCATCTTTTCAGGGTTCACCTTCGTGAATGATTGGATTTGTGGCAACTAAAGGAAGTATGCTCCAATCTGCTTCTAATCAAAAGATGGCAGCAAACCACTACAATTTACCAAGGAATATGCTCATTTGTGATTGATGTACCGAAATACATCGATTCCAGCATCATATAAACGGATACTTACAACGCAGGACGATATCACGACACGTACCATAGTTCAAATCTATGTCTCATCTACTCGTTACATGATCATTGATTAAGCGATCCAAACCAACAGTTATGTAGAAAGGCAATAGTTTTGATCGGTCTACGCAGATGGAACATTGCATGCAAACGTTATTTCATAGCAAAATAAAACATCTGACAGCAAAATTCTACAGTACGGGCTCATCAATAAGACAAGTTATCAAATTAAACGCTGTTTTTTTAAGTTTAAATAGAACCAAGCAGGTTTGTATATTAAGGTAAAGAGTAAAATTATGGTTTATTATAGTTTCGTTTAACGAGGAAGCATAACGAACACGTTTAATCAGTTTGTTGACATTTTTTGTTAGGAGAAAATCGATACTGTAAACATAGTTTAGTAGTTATTGGCGGAAGAGAAATAGGTAGTGATATTAAGGCATACGCTAGGTAAGAAATTGGTGCTTATTATTTCCTACACACCCCGTCGGCGTAGAATTCAACACACGCAACAGGTGGTCGGTTAAATTAGGCACGGCCTTTTCTTTTCACGCAGTAGGCGGTGAAAGTGTATGCTGGCAGTAGCGAGTACACAAACCAAACATCCACCGCCTACTGTGTGGATATAGAAGCGCGCATGCCAGCATTGTAAGCTTTTTGCTCAATTCAGAACGCCATCTGTGGATTGCGTTTGCTTTTCGTTTGGTTATTTCGGGGAAAAAGCACAAAATGCAACATGAGAAAGGAAAATTCTAAATGATACATTTAGTTTTGAGGGTTCTGCTTTACGTTCTAGGATAACCAGTGCCATTTAAAGAATCTTGTATGAATTTCAACGTATGCTATAATCCTCCTTAAAGAAGTAGTAGTGACCGGTTAAGTAGGTCGGCATGCACGCCAAACTAAAACGGCAAGCGTGTGCAGCCATTTTTTGTAAATAGGTATCTTTAACAAATTGTAAATATAGTTACCAAATGTAAAACACGGTAAGCAAATGTCAGCTTTCCCTCCCTAAAATAGGTGATAGTTGATCAATCATTGTTATAGAAGATCGTTTTTTGAAAGCGTCACTAGAGGGTTCTTCGATTTTGCAAGAATGAAATTACTAGGCTAAACCTTAAAGGCGATAATATTGTTTTAATCACATTTTGTACATATAAGTAAAGTAAATAAACCAACTGAAGGTAACATTTAATCATAAGCAAATACATCTAATCAGTAAAAAAAACAAGTGGTTAGTAGAGAAAACGAGAATAAAATGTATATTCATAGTAGAAGCTTGCTATCTTGGATACAAAACACTAATAATGAAAAAAAATAAAAGCGAATGACAACTGATTGATGAAAGCAGTGAAAACTAGAGCAAACACACACAAATACCTTAATCAATATCGTCGAAATTAGAAAAACAAATTGATCTTCAATGACCAATGAATATCGTGAAAATGAATGTGTTCGTTAAATTAATTTTAATTCCATTTTCAATTACATTTGTATTCCTTTTCCGGGGCCTGTTTTTGTGGTAAAAGGAATCCAATAGTAGCAAAAGGAGAAAGAAATGAAAAGCAAACTGTTATAAAACATTGGAAACCGAAGAAACGATGATGCGGAACGAGCGTGAACGAGTGCAGACGTCAATGGTAATATGTGGAAAAATTGTTGCTTCGTACAAATTAATTTATATTACTGAAATCCGACAATGTGAAAATGCGCATAATATTGATTTTGGGTTGTTGAATAAAATTGGATCAATAAATATGGCTTTTTTATAATCTCCGAAAAGTTCCTCAGATCATTCCAACTTATTCCCAAATGCACTACTAGGATTGACAGAGTTTAATTTTCAGGCAAAATAATCGAAAACAGGAAAACCATTTGCAGAATTTTCTTAGTAAGTTTCCTTATATGAGAGAAGCCCCTCATCCCCTCATTCTAGTTATGTTTTGTAGTCTTTGCGTGTATTAGGTTCAACTACCATTATTTAGTTTATCAATGAATATACTTCTCTATTTTCTTCAAAAACATCCATGTAATGTATACCGTAACCTGCCTTAATTCCACGCAGCACCTAATGCCGTGGATTGACAGTAAACTTTATTATTTTGCGATGTATATTAATTTTGATTTTTTTTTCCTTGATTTGTTTTCCGTCGATCTTGTATTCCGTGCTGAGCACCAATGCTACCGACGCCAGGGAGGCAGCTCCCACACCTTGACCCTACCTATCAACCCATCAACTCATGAACCGGGGACCAACGGCTTTACTTCCCTTCCGAAGGAATGCGTGATCAGAGATGTTATGCCTCAGAACATCTCGGCGGCGCCGACTGGGATTGAACCCAGGCCTGCTGGGGTGAGAGGTAATCACGCTTACCACTACACCACCGGCGCCACTATATTGATTTTAATGTTTTCTAAATACTAAAATTGTGAGTACTTTAACTAAAACCACAAACTGTAAACACTAACACTATATATTAAACAAATTCTTGCAGATTGGTCAACTTTATTTACGATTGATTTACAAAAAACGGTTTTGTTTTTCTTTGATCCGAACAAAACTGATAATGACCATGCATCAGAACCCTAGCCTTAACCACTTCAAACTAGAGAACAACGAATATAAAATTAGGAATCACATAGATGAAGACTAACTAACTCATTTTTTCCTTGTTTCAAGATCATCCTCGGTCCAGGCAACCCGAGGACTTATCACTATCAACAAGGAATAAAAAGTAACAAGGACTAAGATGTGTTCCTTTGATTACTGAAAAAACCTATTCCCATAGTTTGAAGTATTCAAGACTAGAAATCGGTGGTAGATCTTACATCCCGTAACGTACCATGAAAAGGTTCTACCCACGTTACGGGGCTTCTAAGACAAATAGAAATTAAACTTGGTATTTAATTCGTTACCAGATACGTGTACGACCTGCGGAAATACGAGCACATTTATAACTTTTTTTAATTTATTACTCGGATGCGATTTCGTTAACTATACATGAAACTTAGAATTTGTATTCATACTTTTAAAATTTTAAATGAAGGTCCGATAATTCTTCGAAAGCTCTTTATTCACTCACAGTCTTCTAGGACAAATGTTTTAATTATTCCAAGATGCTCGAGATCGTTCGATTCGATTATGGAATAACCTACCGATGGAATACAAGACAGCAAGAAGTTTAACAACATTTAAAAACTTATGCAGCAGCTACTTCAGTTAATAGCTACATCAGTAGTGCAATAGCAACAATCAATACGAAACTAACGATTTTAAATTGGCTCACTACTTGACTATTGGTCCCAAGCAAACGATTAACGTACCCTATTCTAGTCAAAATTCTAGTACTACACAATGTTTGTTATGATTCGCTATGAAAGTTTGACAGATAAAATGAAGGGATAGTGAATTTTCCTATGTTTCGAGGGGTGAATCGATTAGCTTGGGACCGAAGAGAGTACCAGAGCTGAGCCAAAAAGTTGAGCACGTTTATTCGGGACCTTCTGGTCTTAGAGTTACCTCTATGGTAATAGTAGCATATACTCTGAAAATCATTTGTATTACTTGTGCTGTTATTCTTGTATTGTATAAATAAATAAATAAAATAAAAACAGAAATATCAAAGTGAAATCACTTCAAGCGCTACTGTATCTTCTATAATATTAATGTAACAGTGCAATCATTGATAAACCTAATTAAATAATATTTATACTTACCGTATCCGGAAAACAATGGAGCGACCAGGCTCCTCCTGGTCGGGTTTAACAAACCGATACAGTGCACTTCTTGCCCATCGACACGTTTCAGTTGATTATTGCAATTGATTACAAGAGACACTCGTTTTTATATGTTTTTCATATTCATTAATGGCATAGAATTCTAAGCATTAGTTAATGCAACGAAAGAAACGCATCACGGGTCATTTTACGTGATGAACTAGCCTACGGCTAAATATCACGATAACAATGAAAAAAAATCACGTGTCATGATCTTTTAGAAACGTTTGTATGGGACTGCCATGATTTGTAATACGGTAATGCCGTCACTGGTTAATTTTGCTTCATTATTAAGTGATATTCCTTTTCGCAACTTTACAATTCATCTTTTTCAAAAGAATAATGTTCCAGAATAATATATCGCCAGTTTTGAATGATTTTTATACAGACAAGCATTTGTATTAAGAAAAACTTTTTTTAACCATTCCCTTTCTTGAGGACACGATGGAAGATGGATAAACAAAGCTTTAGTAAAGCTCAAGCTCAAGCTTTATCCTGTCTTAGCCATGACCAGTGCAAAAGTACAAGTGCGCATGCCCATGTTTTTGTATCGACGCGAAATATCTGTTTTGTATCGGTTGTTGCTAAAGTAAATATTTTTGTCATATAGAGGAAATGACTCTAATGTTGGACGATGGGCTAATATTGTTTGGCCTATCGATCAAAATTTTCTGTTCTTAAATGTTTCTAATAACATTGCAGCATTTTAAGAAAACTAATGACTATTCATGGGTGTTAATTAAATTGTGATCAAACAATAATACAAAGTACACTGTTGTACTACCGTTGTACTTCTTCAAGCTAGTACCTAAAATTGTACCTTTTGATGTATTAGATTAAATGAGTTCAACGGTACTGCTTTGTATGTCTGTCAATGGTATAACGGAACTATTAACTCTATACTTTCATCTCCTCAGCTATCATATAAAATCACCACTTTCAGCGAAGACAACATATCAAGAAGACTGGCAACCATTTTCTCCTACGACCGCTATGAGACAGGTACAATTGCGTCATCTGCCGCTCAAAGGTAAATGCTTCGAACGAATTTGATGGCAAAAATTACATCCTCAGAAGAAAAGCTTGTGTATTTGTTCATTTTTCTATGTTGCAGCGCTACTGTACCTGTCGCTTGGATTCTGGTAAAGTTGCCAGTCTTCTTGATATGATGTCTTTACTTTAAGTCTGATATTTTTCGTTAATCATCTTCAACTATGTAAATCGTTAACTGCAAGCATGAATACAAACATTATTGATACTAAGCTAACAAATTCACATAGAGACGCATGGTAGTAGCATAAGTGTGTTGAGCGAAAACCCAAAAGTTTATAACTTTAAAAATATAACTCAAAAAAATACATCGCCGTTGTGTAAAAAGTCAAACTTCTCAAGGAAAAATATAAATCCATATCGCTCCCACTCTCTACAAACCACCGACAAACCGACATGAATGTTCATACAAATTACAAAGAAATTTCTGATAAAAGCACAATACTGACATCTGCCACGCGTTCGCGGAAAATATTTATCCTAGCCACGAACACGCGTACAAAATTTATGAGTTGGTTTGTGTCTAATCTGTTTCGGACAAATTATTTTTATCTAGATAAAACATTTCTATGGTTTTGACAGATGGGATCGTTGCCCATTTGAATTGGGAGTTATGTATTCTCGATCAAGAGTTAAGTTTAAGTTGTCGGTTTGACGGTGTACAAAGTATGAAAACCTTAAAAAAAACAAATATATTCATTGTTTTTCAAAACAAAATGCTAAAATACTTAATTACATAAAATACTTTTCAGTGTTCACTCGGCTGTCGACAAAAGCAGACCACTCTCGATGTGTGCTACGCGATCGTCTGTTTTCTCGGCAGCAACCATTGTGTGGTCCTCCTCACTGTTCTTCATCAGCAGTTCTTTCGGTCGATGCGTCGTCGACTTTGGAAAGCAACCGTTTCGTGATGAGTGTGTGAGTGCTGACCACGTTTTACGTCCATTGCTGCAATGGACGCGCTCTGACCCTCGTTGGCGTACAACAAATTGCCATACAATGAAACTACTGGAAGCGGCTCCAGTTCTGATGGAGGAGGCTTTTTGGATAGCGGAAGATAAAGTGTCTATTGTGTTGTACCTTTTGACTATATTTTTAAGATGTATTGTATAGTGACCAAGAATCCTCGGCTCTGTAAAGTTAATTCGGTTGAGCCTTACCAAATAAATTAATAAACAAAAAAAAAAATAAAATACTTTTTTAATATCATTATATTTTGCCCTTCATTTGATATTTTGAGTTTCAAAATCAACAAAATGGTTCAAAAGTTATGATTTTTCGAAAAAAAAAACAATTTTTGGACCACCCTTACATGGAAATGGTCAACCTAATAACTAAATTCAAAAATACTCGTCTAATATTTGGCGATAAGGAACAAAACTACTAATTTTTACGAAATTTTGAGAACCACTTTATCGTTTTGCTATGAATTGGCTGTACATCAAAGTGTGTTTACATTGTTGTTCCCCAAGCAGTAAAGTATTTTGAACATGTTATCTATGCCTGCATGTCCGTATAATAATTGTCATCTTAAAACTTAAAACTTAAACTATATAAAGGGAATTGATCGTTGCAATTGAAGAATTGAAGCCACCTACACACTAATTTTAACACGTGACGGAATCCGTCTTTGACATAAGAGATGAGACTAAACAAACATGCCATGTAATATTAAGTGTTCCGAGACTGAAAAGTTCGTTGCTCGACGAAAAGTACATTTGATTGAGCTATATTTCGCGTCTATTACACTAGTTTACAGCATTTTTGAACTCGGTAAGATGATGATCATTTCCAATGCAAAATCCTACGCTGAATTCAATGCCGTGGTCAGAAAAAATTAAAGTAGAGCCATTTTTGAGATATACAAAAGTTTTGATTTTTTGAATTTTGGACAAAAGTACGATTACTAAAATGTCAATGTCTTTGAAA